GTGCTTTGTTTAAATTTTTGCTTGTTTATGGAAAGAAGTTGGACTAAAATTCTTTGATTTTAGGCAGCTGATATCTGTTATTACATAACTGATGACTGAACAGCAAGAAGCAAAAACTTCAAGTCAACAAGCAGCTTATTTCATACAAAATGTTAATTGATATAATAGATGTGTAGTCTGAGATCAAAATATTAGTAGGGGAGAATAGACAAATTTTCTTTGCAAGCATAAAGATCACAACAAAACAAGGTCATGCTTTTTTTTTAAATGAAGGGCATCTTTCATCTTGAATCTGAGATTTGAAGTTGTAATACAGAATTCCAGTAATCTGCAGTTGCTTAATCCACAAATGTCTGTAATCTGTGCTCATTTTTTGATGTAAACAAACAAAATTTCTGTCTTTAGAAAATTCAGCATGATAAATTTAACAGTAACTTTTTTCATCTAAATTTATAAATAAATGTTTTAACAAAAATACACTGTACATATAATATAACATACTTTGATTGAAAAAGCAAATTAATTTTATTATAGAAGTTATTTAGCATTTTTTGTGTGCTGTTAAGAGCTCTCATTTTACAGTAAATATGTTTTCATGAATCTCTGCAAAATTGGTTATTTTAAATAAATTTATCCTTTTGATATATATTCCACTCTTTTAAAATTAATTTTTAATTTTTGTGATTTGCATGTGTAAAGAATTTATTTGACCGTAAATTTTCAGATACTGAGTTCCAACTTGATATAATGAATGAAAGTTGGTTTGTTTACATCCTGCACAACAAGTAAGCTTGTTTGTATAGGTTTTGACTAGATAATTAAAATAGTACTTATAGAGATTTTTCTGTCATCAAAAATGGAAAACATGATAAAGAATAGGCCAAAAATATTAAGGGATACAAATTTTCAGTTTTACCACCTTAACTGCTAGTAGTGATAATAATCCAATTTCATATCTGTGAAACATAATACAGAATAAGTATAATGATTAAAGGGAAAATTTTACTGCTAAGATTTTAGTGAACAATGTACTTCGTTATGTACTTAAGTTTTGTTTCGTTTAGAATATTTTTACTGAAGGGCTCTGAACTGCTTTAAAATATTTCCATCTCATTTGTCCCCTTTCCTTTCCTTAACTATAATATTCTTTTCTTACTGAGTAACTATAATATTCTCTTCTTACTGAGTAATATTACTTTGTATATAATTGTACTAAAAATATAATGTAGTTATGGTAAAAAAAAAAGAGAAAGAAACACCTTTCAATTTTTTTTTTTTTTTTTTTTTTTATTTTTTTTTACAAATTTAAGAATGAATTAAGTTGCTTGTTTTTAACATTAATAGTTAATGTGTATTGTTTTCACTCCAATATAATTTATTGATTCTGTAAGTGTCATCACTAAGTTTTAGGTTGTTATCTATGTCATAATTTTTTTTCTGAACAACCTAAAAATTCATTGGACAAGAAACAGAAACACTTTGCTGTTGAGAACAAAAAAACTTTGTTCGTTATTAAATTTTTAAATCCTTTATTAATATTTTAGTTTCAAAATCTCTGGCATAGATTTGACTAATTTCTGAACATATTTCAGCAGGAATAGAATTCTGTGCATCTTGAATAATTCTAGAATATTCCCTCAATTTTTTAAAAAATCTCTTAGTTTATCTCGTATGTTCTCAGTGAAATTTAAATCCAATGACTAGGAAGAGCTACGACAGGACATCAATTTTGTTTCATTCAATCTAGTTTTTCATCAGCATGGAAAATTGGGCTCACCATCTTTAATGGTTTTCTTTATGCATTTTTGATTATATACATGGTTTTAATAATCACAAACAAACTGCTTCCCATCTGTCAAAAAAAAAAAAAAACTTATTTTTGTTTTATCACTCCTTTCAGTTTTTCAGGATCATTCTCTATGCAGAAAAACATTGTAAAATGCATATCCTTTTTGGTATGTATTTTTTTTACAAACAGAACTTTCTTCGGACTGTTTAAAAATGCATTTTTTTCATTCACTGGTGACATGGCATATTTCAGTCATTTACATTATGATCAGCTTACTTAATGCTCTTTCGCAGGTAAAAATGCTCTCTCTTTTGATTTTTCAAAAAGCATTCCTTTATCTCTTGAAGTTGTATTTAGTAGTATGTTCAAGCATTTTTTTGTGCATTAGTGCTGTAAAAACTTTCCTTCATTAAGATTCAACTAACTGCTTTGCTAATTTTTCTGATTGATGATTCATTAGCGTGCATCATTAAAATAGTTTATGTTATTGCAGTATTTTACTTTATCAATTTTTTCCCCTTCTGTAATTCATGTATGAAATTCTTTGATGAGAAATTTCAGAGCCGAACAAAAAGAATGTCACATTTCATAAATCATACTTCTTTTTTTAAAAAAAGGAATATCTTTTTGAATATCTTCTTAAAATCTTTTTAATTTTTTTAAGAACACCTTTGGGATAGCTCCTAGAAAAACATGATAATCCAATCTTGAATAATTGATGATTTATACAGAATCAATAAATTATATTCTTTGAGTCCAAGCAATATATATTGGTCATAAAGTAAAAACATTACATAGATATTATTCTTAAATCTTTCACTTCCTCAACAAAATGTATCTTCTTTTTGTTGTTATAGTTTTACTATTCTATAAATCTTGATTAAATAATTCTTAAAGCATGGTTATATATTGTTAGTTATTTATGTGGAAAAAATTAGAATTTTTACATTAACATTTTAACAAAATTTGGAATATCAGAATTCTGTTGTACTATTATACACTGCTCAAAACAATTAAGGGATACTGTGAATGCAGTATGAAATAACCATATAATCAACAACTGTTTTAACAAAGACATGATAGAAGAGGTTAAAAAGGAAAATTATAATGTTTATAAAGTTGGGAATATGCAAATTTTGTCTGTGACATAAAAATTACATGTTTCAGCTATGCAGAGAAAAAGGACCTGCAGCATTCCTCTGTAGGAGGAGATTAAAAACAATTGAGAGGCATTGAATGTTTCATAACAGGGAATACAATGTCTCAGTGAAATGACTTAGCTCAGTCGTTAGCCTGGAGGGCCACCAGTCGTTTAGAGGTGGGTCAAATGCAATCTGTTGTAGCGAAAGTGTTGGGAGTTGTTTAAAGTGTCATTTCTAGACTATGGATTCGGTTTGGGGGGAACTGAAAATGTTTTGCCGAAGATCGGGGCAAGGTTCTATGCTTCAAATGAGGATTGGTATTTAATACTAATGGCCAGAAGAAACTGCACTACGAATGCCGCTTTTTTGCAGCAGCACCTTCAGAGGGCTACTGGTACCAGAGTTTTGATTTTAAAAGTTTGAAACCAATTCTACCATGTGAATTTGTATGCTTGCAGACCTATGGTTTGTGTTTCGTTGACACAGAACTACCATGCTGCCCATAAAAGGCGGGCACAAAAGCATCTCAGATGGGCATGACATGAGTACAGCAACATGCTCTTCACACAAGAGTCAGACTTTAGCGGAGAGAACTTGGTACATTGAATACTCCTGCGTTTGTGCATGAAAGTGTCTGATTTGGTGGATATGAAGTGATGGCTAGAATTTCTATCAATGGCCACTCCAACCTGACCATTATCAGGAATGAAGAACTAATGGCTCGGTGATATATATGGATGAGATCCTCAGACCTATTGTGGTCCTGTATGCTGTAGTAGTCAGGGATGAATTCATTCTCATGGATGATAATGCCAGGCCATTCCATACTCAGCTAGAGGACAATTTCCTTTTCGACAAAGGAATCTGCTGGATGGATTGGTCAGCATTTTTCCGAGATATGAACCCAATAAAACATATTTGGGACATTCTAGGGAGATGGGTTGCTAGTCACTTTTCACCCCCAGAAACAATTCCACAGTTTGAAAGCTCTCTTCTATTGCAGTAGAAGAGAATATCCTCATCCCTCATTGATAACCTCATCGATTGCATACCTCGTAGATATGCAACATCGCTTTCAATCAGGGAAAACCATACCTCTTGTGAAACTCATTTGTATTTGCGAAATTACACTTTTTGTTTGCTTGTATATGTACAAATTGGGCATTTTTTGTTTACCAACAAATACTATCAATAAAATTTGATTATTCATTGTTCATTGCTTCTTTTTTCATATCTTACAACACCTATGCATCATATATCAGTCACCAAAAGATTTCCTGATCTGCAGTTTATGCCCAAAATCATAATAACCTCTAATTGTTTTGAGTAGTGTATAATAATGAGTCTGCTCAAACATCGCTCCTTGTTTCCAGTCTCCTATAATGTCAAACATTCCATAGTCTTCTAAACTCATAACGTGATTTATTCCCTGAACTACCTTATCCAATTAAGAATTGTTGATTTTCCAGTGTGGAAGATGTGTAGAACAGACTGCTGGTTAAACTGAAGGACATACGGAATATTGATTTCTGTATCGGCTGCAAAGCTTTTAAGTCTTTAGCTAAAATATTTCAAAATGGCAATAATGATTGTATTTTAGCATTATAAGAATTAGCTGCTCGGGTGGTACAGTGGTTAGGTGAGCCGATTGTGATACCAAAGGATCCGAGTTCAAATCCTGGAGAAGGCATGGTTGTAACTGTCCATCTCTTCATAGGAAGCCCATATATTAGGTGCCACCATAATAATGTGACCAACACTTCTGATCTTAGTAGCAGGCAAAATCTATGATGACATATGCCCGCCATTGGGAGGGGGGAACTCATAAGAACTTGGAACTCTAGACCCAGTTTCCAAATTTTTGCCTTTTTATATATTTTCTTATTCTAGACAGGAAATGTTTGAATAACAACAAATTGCTAATCATGTAATTATTTATTATGAGATTTTTATGCAGCATATTTAATTTTTGCCACAAAAATAATCAAAATATAATTATTTTTCACTTTATTTTGAAATATAACTGTAATGGGAGGTTCAAATTATATATTTTATAACATTTATTTCAGGATCCTCCTTTCATTTTCACAGAAGATTATCAAACAGAAATGATGATGCATCACCATAAAGCTTTTGATATTTTGAAGAAGAAAGGCTTTTTTATTGGAGAACATATATGGAATTTTGCCGATTTCCTAACATTACAACGTAAATATCTTTTTTTTTTTTTTAAGTTGGACTTATTTTACAAATTATTCAGTATCACATAATTATCACTTACAATAAACCTTTTATATGATTTTTATATTTAATAGTCTACATTGGTTACAATAGGAGATACATTTTAACTTTATTAAACAGTTCTGGAAAATCAAATACGGTACAAAGTTCGAAATCTGGACTCGTCAGGACTTTGGCAATTCCGGATATTAGATCATCAGTTTAAATCTAGTAAGATAGCATGTAGAAAATATAAAATATTAAATCATGATTTATGAAATAATGATTTGTGATTTAAAGGGTATCAAAATTTACAAAAAAAAAAAAAAAAAAAAAGCTTAATATTTATTTGTTTACCTTATTAAACATTTCTTTCAATGTAAGTTGTTTAAGTTGCTTTGTTTTTTGTGCCAATACTTTCTCTTTAATTCTGTAGACAGACATAATCTCTTTAATTCTGTAGACAGACATAATCTCTTGTTTAGTTAGATTCTTGAAGTCCTGTAATTGCTGTTTCGAGAATTCCGACTAACTTGTTAGTCGAAATTTTCTTGTTTTGAGTAACTTCTCTGTCACTTTCTTCACTATCGGTAGCGGTATTTTCTGGATCTAGAACCATACTACAGATTTTGCCATTCATTAATTAATTGGTGATTGAGAAGCATTATCATCACAATGAAAAACGTCTTTTGGCTCTAGTGTAGAATTGGGTGGCCCTTTGATTGGCGACAAATTTTGTTCAGCCTTCCTGGCGCCAATCTTGGCATCAAAAAAGAATCACCAAATAAGAAAGGGCCTTTGTTTTGCATTATCCAAAAACCTTTCAAATTAGCGGCTATCATCATCAAATTTAACTATCCCTCACTATACATATTTGGCTATGCATCATGAGCTTGGCGACTAACAACAAGTTGTTCCGTTAAAATTTATCTTGCTTCTATCGCGCAGAGACAAGTAAGCCTGAATTGTATTAGTTTAGTTATTTATTATACTTATGTCTATTTCTTACACATGCTTAAGGCTTATCAGAGTTCTGAATAAATAAATTCCCACATATACTTAAGTCTTATTGAGGGCCGGTGCTAGATATCTTACCGCCTGTGCAGTCTCTGTGGGTCCTAAATTCTGCGACTCAGTGCGGCCATACGAGCCCTGGCGCTGGGTTTATGTGAATAACAAATCAGTTATTCTTAATTCAAATAGCCCTAAATGTAATCTTTGGGTCTATGAGTATCATCAACAAAATCTATTTTTAGCATATGGAAAGAAATTTTTGGTAAATTTTTCCTCGTCAACATTTTTTATAAATGTGTAATGTCAACATAAAAGGTTACCATACTCCTTTATTATTCAGTTACTAAGATAAAAAAATTGTTTAGGTATCGCTACATGAGTCATTACTCAAGTTGTCATGTTTTGATAAACATGCGGCGATGAAAGGAAAGTATAATAAATAATTATTCGCCAGGTTGGTGTCAGATCAAAGATGTATCTATGTGAAATGTTTCGGTTTGAGATGTTTGCCAAGTAGATATGCAGCAACAGAGCCAAATTGCTGATCGTACAAATTTATGCTAAAATGATTGTTTCTTCAATAACAAGGTATTTAATTTAGTGTCAAAGTGAAATTAAGAATCGGGATTCTCCAGATGTTTTATTATGCGCAGAAGGGGGAATCATATGCACATGCGTAAAGCCAAGGAGAAAACACGCTGTTGGTGTTTTGAGGTCCAGATTTTAGATCATTCTGGATAATGGACGTCCGGATTTCAAAATTTGTACTGTATAAGACTAGGTTTGTGAGAAATTCAAAATGCTATTCTGAGTACATTTTTTCAGTAATATATTTATGTCCTTAAAACATAATACAAGTTAATGAAAAAGCTGCAATGCATATGCAAGGAATAAGTTTTGTTTCTTTGAAGATGGCCATTTTGACATTTTTACTTTCTGCCTAATAGAAATATTGCAATCACATCTACATTTTCCTTCTAAAAATGAATGGAATTTTCTAGCAAAATATTATATATTTTTTCTGAAGCATTTATTTTAGTAAGTCAATCCTTCTTTCCTTAAGTGACTAAATGCATTACATTGTATAATCATTCATCAGTCAATCATGTTTAAGGCTATCAAAACAAAACTCATCCATGGCCACCAAAAAGTAATACAAAATACTGTTCTCGTGCATGTTATCCTTATTTAGTCTCATTTCATTTATACATTTTACATAAATTTCACAACAATTTTGCATTTAAGTATAAAGTTTTATGCTTTTTTTCAGTGTGCTCAGATTTTTATGTTCAAATGTGTGGGGGGGGGACAGGAATAATGAAAATGAAATATTTCCCCTGTTAATAATTATCTGCATCTCAACCATGGAGGTAGGAAGCAAGATGGAGTGGCCCTAAACAGGTTTCTTCCGTACCCTGCTCTGAAGCACTGGCGATCCCTAAGTGGTGACTAAAACATTGGGTCATTTACCATTAAGTTCAATGGGTTTTGACGCGATCCGATGTAAATATTTTGTAATTACGTCGTAAATATACATATAAATGTATATATTTTCTTTTTCTACAATACTTCAGAGTCCTAAGTATATGAAAACAACATATTTTTAAACAACATTTCATTCTGAACGGAATTAAATGCTATTCTTTTCACAGAACAGTTTACGAATGGTTTAATTTGAATGAAATATTTTCACAAGTTTTTGTTAATTACATTAGAAAAAAAAATTAAGGTAATTCTATTTTATTCTGTTAAGGTACAAAAATTAAGATCAAAGTTTATTGTATTATTAATATTAAAATTATGCATTATTTCTTTTCTATTTATAAAGCTTCTTCCTAAAATACTTTCTTAAATATGACATGATTTTTTGGCTTCTGAGGCATCTTTTAAATCGAAAAATATAAGTCAATTTATAATTAATGCTCTATTCGGTTCATTTTAAATTAGAGAATTATTAGAAATTAGCGAAATACTTTAAATAGTACTTAACTTTCTCTGAACATTTCTGAAAGGGAATAAAATAAGTTTTTTATTAAGTATATTTTAAAACTTGTAACTCAGTTATTATAAAATGTAAGGGGAATAATTCTTTTAATTATACTTATCAGATTTTTTTTACCCTTAATTTCAACAATACATATTCCAAAACTCTACTTTCTTAAGTGTGCATCTCATAGCATTTGCTTTACAATACCTTTTAACAGATTGCTTTCCAGTACGAACAATTCTTGCTTAAATAAATAGTTTTATAACGTATTTGTCAACAGGATTTCAATTTATGTTTACAATTCAATATGAAGGTTATTATATATTTAGATAACATTTATAATCATTATAAATTAGATACATTTAATAATTAGATTTCTTCACAGTAACTTTCACAATTGTTTATAAATGAATAAATTCATTTCAAATACATTTATAAATAATTTAATGAATATTTATGTATTATGTTAAAGGCAAATACATGCTTTTTGCAAGCACATGCATAAATACCCATACATATTTTCTATTTTTCATTTCCGGCATGTGCAAATCTTTTAATTTCTGTGCATTCACTATATTTTTTGAGTAAAGTAATTTACATTAATTTAGCATACACCCAAAAGTTTTACATAAAAAATATATATGAATATAATTTGAATGACGGATTGCAGCATTTGATGGTAATTTCATTTTTAATTAACCCAAATAAGTAAAACATGTAAGCCCAAAGTGATTATTTTTCAGATATATAAAATTAAAATGACGAGTTTAAAATGAGCGGCAGTAAAGCCTCTCTTCTAAAAAAATTTTATTTTTCACTCTTTAAACATAACATTTTTGTTAAAATCTATATTTTTGTAGTTAACAGCTTAGAATTTTATAAAACAAATTCATAATCAAAATCGCTGTTGTTAGTTATCGAAAAATAACCAAGATGTGATTTTTGCATAAATGTCACTAAACTATATAAATTGCTATTATCCATCACACTATGGATGTTTCTTTTATGCAAAAGTGTCCCTTTTTCAATTTGTATGGAACTGTCGTGTGTTTAAATACTATCAGAACACTGTCAAGTGAGCTTCTGAATGTAAACAAAGAACACCCCCATCTGGTGACCGAAGCTTCGAAGCAGTGCTTCACTTCTAGTGCCGGTTGGCCACTCCTTCCTTTCTTACCTCCATGATCTCAACACAGTGAATTTATTTATAGCTGAAAATTATTTTTTTTTTTTACATATCAGATCAATTTATTATTTTAATACAGTACAAAGTTCGTAATCCAGACTCGTTGGGACTTTGACAATTCTGGATTATAGATCATCAATTTAAATCTGATAAGATGGCATGCAGAAATTATTCAATTAAAAATATGAAACCGTAATTTATGAAATAAAGAGCAAGTATGATCTGAAGGGTATCAAAATTTACCAAAAAAAAAAAAAAAAAAGCTTAATATTTATGTGTTTACTTTATTAAACATTTCTTTCAATGTAAGTTGTTCAAGTTGCTTTGTTTCTTGTGCTATTACTTTCTCTTTAATTCTATAAACAAACATAATTTCTTGTTCAGTTACAAAGTTCCACCGTTCAAGTACTGTAATTGCTGCGTCGATAATACCGACTAACTTGTCAATCGAAATTTTTTCATTTTCAATAACCTCTCCGTCACTTTCTTCACTATTGGAAGCGGCATTTTCTGGATCTAGAACCATACTACAGATTTTGCCGTCCGTTAATTAATTGATGATTGGGGCATTGTCGTCACAATGAAAAGCTTCTGTTATATCATCTTCATTTATTACCGCTTCTCCACATTTCTTTGCAAAATCTAATAACTGGAAAATTTCACCTTTAGTTTGCAATGTCCGAAAACCTTCAAATTCGCGGCTATCATCTTCATCGTCCTCGCCATGAAATATGGTAGCTGGCCATAAATTATGCCAAGCATTTTTTAACGTATCTGGAGACACATCTTCCCATGATCTTGCGATGCTCCACATAGCAGATTTTATGCTTAAAAAATTTCAAAAAGTGTTGAACAGTTTTGCCATTGTTCAAGAAATTTAACATAGATTTTAAAAATGCTACTTTATATTTGCATTTCAGCGCATGCACTATTCCCATATCCATAGGCTGAATGATAGACGTACAATTTGGAGGGAAGAATAATACGGATACATTATCTTTCACTAAAACTTTAAGTGAAGTATGCGCCAAACAGTTGTCAACAATCAGGACTATTTTTGAGTCATCAGGTAAACCAACCGAATTCAAATGTTGCCAAGCCTCGGGTATAAAATGATTTTCAAACCAATCATTCATCAATGCTTGTGTCATCCATGCTCTTTTATTTGCACGATATATAACGGGAAAAATCGTTACTCCTTTAAATGCTCGAGGTCGTGCATGTTTTCCGATTACGAAAAGTTTGCACTTGTGTGTTCCTGCAGCATTTGCGCACACTAAAATTGTTAGTCTCGCTTTGGAATCTTTGACACACCAGTTGGAGCCTTTTCTGAAGAGGTTGCCAAGGTATTGCATGGTACATATTGCCAGAAAAGACCAGTTTCATCAGCATTGTAAATTTGTTCTGGAGATAATTGTTCACTAGTAATGAGTTCAATGAATTCATCTGCAAATTGTTCAGCAGCTTCAGTATCAGCTGAAGCTTTTTCACATGAAATTTTTAATTGTCTTATACCATGGTGAGTTATTAAATTTAGGTTAACCAACCTGTTCGAATATGTGCACTCAGTGTTTAAGTTCATTTCTTCACGAAATATTTTGCCTTGAGCCATTTAGCATTGGACCCTGATCAATGGCACGTCCCTAGCTGCGACGCTGTCTGATCCCATTCAATCATCACTTTGTCATGCTCATCACTTTTAAGCATAATGAACTCCTTTTTCTGTTATTCATTGCAAGTCGGGTGTCGGAATCCACAAAAAATTCAAAAAGTTCCTTTTTCTTTTCTTTTTGCTTATGTTATATACAGTTGACTTTCCAATGTCATACTCCTTTGCATAATTTTGAGACAGATAGGCCTTTATCCATTTTTTGCAGCAATTTTACTTTTTGTTTGATGGACATCGAAACCTGCTTTCGCTTTGTAGATCCTTTGGCAGCTCCAGAATTGGAAACTCTTTTTGAAATAATCGAAAGTTCAAACTTAATTTTTATAAAATTGCTCTAACAGCTGCAAAAAATAATAAGCCGGATCCAATTAGAAGATTAAGGAACAGTGCATTCTGCAACGTTATTCCGTTATACATTAAACGCGCATGCATTAAGCATACAAAAAAAAAAAAAAAGTTTGTGGCTTTGAGATCCGGATTATAGATCATTCCGGATAATGGATGTTCGGATTACAAATTTTGTACTGTATCTAGTTTCCATTAGCATTTAAAATCTATGCTTAAATATTACAAGAGATTTTATAATTCTATTTTAAATTGATCTAATTATTACGTATTTACAATTTAATTTCTTTTTTATACCAGAAATCAATAGAGTAGTTGGAAATAAAAAAGGAATATTTACTAGAGAACGTCAGCCAAAAGCTTCTGCAAAGCTACTACGATGTCGGTATCACAAGCTAATGAACCGACGCATAGAAGGCAGCATTGCATATTGTCCTGTGAGCAGTTCTAACAAAGTAGAATGTAATACTGTATGATGATTTTAACCTGCTGTATTTCAAATTATATGTAAAATGATGAAATTTATATGAATATTTTTCATATAAAGAAAGATAATTTTGTATATTAAATTGCTTGTTATAAAAAATGTATTATAATATATTTACAATGATGTATACCTTTAAATTTTAAAACTGTTAAATGTAAATTATAATATCAGTAATAAAAGTTTTAATTTAAAATGATTTCTTTATTCATATAACTGTAGCATTCAAAATATAAACAGTATTCAAAACAGAACATAAGACTAGTTTATTTTTATATATACATAATTTTCAAAGCATCTGTTTCAGAATGCAGGGTAAATGCATCAAAACAATATTTATATAATATATAATAGCATAAATACCTTAAGTAACATTATAAATATATACAGAAATTGTGCTTTTTATGTACATGTAAAATGTCTTGTTTTTTAAGATTATTTTTGAAGTAAAAACTGTTCAATCAATTCATTTTGTGCCATTTCTTCTTTTCGAAGTGACTCATGCTGTACCTTTAACCTATGAAAAACATGAAAAATTGTATCACATTTCAGATTTTGATATTGTACAGGAAAAAATTACTGTCATCATATATTTACCTTTCCAACTGCAATTTCTTCTCAATAATTAATGCCTGCAGCTGCTGCTGTTGTGCTTCCCTTTGCTTCGTAATGGATTTCAGAAGATTCCTAGAACCTATTGCCTTGTATTAAACAGTAAGCAATAAATATTATATTAACAATTTTTAATGCAAAATTCTGAATCATATGAGTTTTACATAAGTATTCATTTGCTAAGAAACTTCTAATCACTTGAGGAACATAATATTTTGAGCAAAATCAAAAATTTGATCACCGTAAACTCCGGATATTATCTGTGATGATTCTTTGCCACATTAGCTTAAAAAGAAAGAAATCTACATGACATTCATTCAGTTCAGTGTTTGTTGATGAAGGCCTTGAGGGTACAGCTCTATGCAGTAAATAGTGGCAATATGTTAAAGCTAGATCAGAGTAATATTTGCATATTATAAAGGCTTATTATATTATAAAGAGCAAAAATTCTTAGTTTAGTTTTAATAGATGAAAAAATTGTGTGGTTTTGTATAGTTGTGTAGGAATCTAATATAAGTATTCTACCAGCACATATCACATATTGTATCGAAAAGGAGTTATAACTGCTAACTATGTAGTTTGGCAGTGATGCTGGGGCCTAGCAAGAGCGGCTTCTAAAGGATTACACAAGATGAAGCTTACCAAATACCCAGTATCACTTTATGCAGGTGAATCCTTAGCTAACTCATTCTTCTTCATCCAATTTGCTTGAGCTTTATATCAATACAGAATCGTAATTTTACATATCCTACTACAATACAATTGTGTCTAGCAGATGTTCATATAGTGGTATAGTATTTTTTTATAATATAAAAACTGCAGCTTGATACTAAGATGAATATGTGATGCAGAATAAGAAACTAGTCAATTTTGAAAGATGAAAATAATTTGATATCTCAATACTTTCTGTCCATATTTCTTCTTGAACACACACAAAAAAAGTTTTGAGTTTTTGCTATAGCTATAAGTGTATTATATCCTTTCTGTAGCCTTAAAGGACTTGGCATCTCTTTGAATGAAGGCATTTGTCTTCTTAGGCATATATTACTTGAATGTGTTGTCATAATTTAAAATAATCCTGATTTGAGTAGTCAGAGATAAAAGATTATTTTAACTACTGGTCTCTCCAATTTACTTCAAATGTTAGCGTTCAAAGCTATAAGATTACGAGAAGATGTCCTCAAGGCTCATGCTTCAGCCCAGTAATTTGGACTTATGGGGCACTTCAAAATTTTGGAGAAGTAATTGCACACACATGCCCAAGCATATTTCTTGCTAATAGCTCAAGAGAAAACTCAAAAGGACATACAGGAACATTCTTATTTTTCTTTGCAAATTTGCAAAAATCAAATTTCAATTAAAAATTTCTATCTCAAAATGCAAAACTATTTACATTCCAAAGAAGGGAATGAAATTTAACAACCTAAGAAATCCAATCATAAAAGTTTTACAGAAGAAAATAACAACAGAAAAAAACAAATGCCTTATTTAGGCATAATTTTAGATAATAGGCTATCCTGGCAGCATCATATAAATTATATTAAAAGTAAACTTCTAATATTGTCTAACTCGCTGAAAATCACTACAGCCAAAACTTGGAGAATTTCTTCAAAATTTCAAAAAATCTGTTATCTTACAGTGATTGAGTAAATTCTGCCTGTGGCATGACTCTAAATAAATATGTTCAAAGATAATTACTTTCTTTACTATGTATATTTCTTCTACCAATCACAAAAGCTTACTTACAAAGATATCAAGAGGAGCTTCTTCTTTGCAAATTACTATCAACTAGGAAGCATGTCACGGGGTGAAATACTATAAAAAAACTGTGCAAATTATATGTACTGATGGTACAAAGGCAATTACAAGTCACAATGCTGGAGATAATGCTGAAATTAAAGATAAGACAATGAAATGTAGCAGCTACCATTGCATTATTCATAGACACATACTGGTCTTGAGAAAAATAACTTCTAAGCTATGACAGTGTTAAATGATTCCATCGAAATAATACGCTAAATAAAATCCCTACATCTTAGAAAGTTTTTCAAACTAATGTGTGAAGATTGGGAAGCTACCTAAGCGTGACCGAGAAATAAGGCCGTCCAGCTCTCTCGTGACGTCACGATGAGGAGTGCGAAGAAATCTCTCTCCTGCATTTGAAGCGAGTGAACGCACAGCACGCTAATTTATCAGAGAAGCTAATTTTATGTTATTCTGATGTAAAGTAAACAGGAGATTATTAAATAAATGATACTATCTTAACATTTATTATAATCACGCTTTAAGACTTCAGATAGCTGAGCTTATTTTTCTTAATACTTGATAAAAAATTTCACCTAGATGATCAATAATTATTTATATTAGTCTCATTTTATTTTTCATAGATTGGATAAACTTTCCAGCACTTCATAACGCGAAAATATTAAGCTTTCGAACTGCAAATGAAACACTGCATATTATTTTTCATTCATATGTAAACATGAAAAATATGAATAAAAAGAACATTTTACAAGAACCAACTTTTTCTTACAGACTTTTTTAAATAATATTTAATTTTCTTCAGTATGACGATAAAATGAAAGAACTAGCTTTTTTGGTTATTATATTTATTTTTAAACACATTTTAGTGTAGATCTTTTATAATAAACTAAATATTAAAAAGGAATATTTCATCATTTATTTACGGTTATAAATACATGAAAATTAATTTTTAATGTCAACATTGTTTTAAACTGTCAAATGATGGTTATTGTTATTGTTAAAATAATTATTAAACTTGCAGTGATCCAGATTCTTACAGAATAAAAACCAAAGATATATTTTTAATCTGTCACAGAAAAATCATTTTACTTTAATTTTGCTGACTGTCTTTATTAAACACTTTTTTAATTGTGATATGAATTCTTACTATTCTATATTACTCTTTAGGGAAATCTTGATATGTCCACGTTAGAGTTTATGATCATAACAGTTAATTTTGTAGCTCTCTAGATCGAAAGTTGTGCCTGTAACTAGGTGTGAATTTTGATTTTTTGGAATACTTATGTGTATCCTTAAGGAATTGTAAAGGGGAAAAAATAATAATTCTCTGAAAATTTAATAGACAACATTTTGAAAGGGACACACTGCAAAATTATGTTTTAAATTTTAAAATATGCAAGGCAGATAGCCGAGGTTCCCACATCTCGTTTTCAAAGCGCACATGGTAGAGCCTATATCATATCAGGAAAGTGCAATGATAATATAGGATACCGGATGTCCCTTGCAAAAGCACTTCATTCTCCCAGTATATTTAATCTTTTTTAATTGTTTATTCTATTGTATCCATTTAAAACATCATATACTCTATAGCTTTTCAAAAATTTAGCATTTTGCTGATGTATGAAGTTTAATTTAAAAAACGTAACAGCAAAATTTTAGGGGGAAAAAATTCTAAACTTTATAAGCAACTGGCGTAACAATATTGTTTTCAAGTTTTGTTTATATATTTTCGAAAATATAATATTAATTACAATTTTCACAATAATTTTGAAAAATATGACAAAAAAAAGTTTAAAAAAGGGTAATGTGAAAAACATAATTACTTTTAAATCTATAATGACAAGTACATTAAAAAAACTGAAATAAATTAGATATTACAAATCATTTAATGCTATATGATTAATATATAATCATAATGCACAGCATTTCAGCAATACATGAAACAAAATTTACTATACATTAAATAATCCTGTAGTAATATGGACTTAATTAGTTTATTGCTTACTTTTATATTTTACACCAGTTATTGTTTGCTTTTTTAATATTTTCCACTAGTTTTTCAGTGGAAATCATTTTGGCTTTAAAAACAGACATATTAAATGTATCGAATATTTAATCTAGTTTTCTTTAAATATCAATAAAATCATAGTAATGAAATCTCACCCTGCTGTTTTTAGTCGGAATGAAGTCCTTCCGTTTTATTGCATGTATCCACTTTCACATCTGCATGAACAGGAAAAGCAAAAATATATGTTGTAATTTCAGTTACATCGCGGCACTGAACACACGCAAGACATTATATTGTTTCCGGAACAACCCACAAATTGCAAAAAAACTCAAATTTAAAGTGTCCAACTAGGAAAAAAGCATGGTATATACCAAGATTTTAGGTCAATAATTGCAGTTCAAAACTTCTCTCATAGCAAAGGCGACTAACAATAACCTTTGTGTCAACGCTGCCCTCAAACCCAAAGAAGGGTGCACTCTCTGTACTGACGTCACGCGCTCTACGTCACTGAGCTGCAAGGCCTTGTTCTCGAAGGCCACGACACAAGTCCATCCTCAAGGAAAATCACTTTCACATTAAATTTAACTGTGCACAGAGACAGCAGCATTTTTGATAGACATGACCTCTCACTGGCCATGTTTTTTATAATGAAGCCTAGGTATGCAATTTAGCATATTTGACAGGTATTTTTGGCAAAATGAATGAAATGAATCTATCATTGCGAAGAAAGTACCACAATTTTTGTTGCAAGCGTTTAAGGGTCTTCTTTTAAGAGGAAACTTACGTATTGGTTGCAGTTTATGGAAAAGAAATATACTGAATGCTTCTTTCTTACAAAAATCTTCTAGAATGAAAATAGCATCAAAATCTGAAAAAATAAAGAAAAATATTCACAAGCATCTCTTAAGTTTTTAAAAGACTTGTTTCAGTATTATATTCCAATATTTCAATAGAAGGTGCCTGATAAATTTAAATTCATTCTGAATGTGTTCAATGAGAGTAAAAAAAAAAAAATCGCCCAACTTAAATTTAGAAGAACATGAGGTCTTTGTAGATTTGACATCTCGCAATGAACTGAAAATTGCAATTTAAAATCAAAGTCTTATTATTCTGATAAGAATTTAATTTTAAAATGCAATTTTTAGTTCGTTGCGAAATGTATAATGAAATAATTTTCAAGTTAGAAACCAAGATAATTTAGTAAATTAAAAAATTAATTTATAAATAAGTTTCAAGTCTAAATAAATTTCAAACCAAGGAAAAAGCAGAACTGCTAAAAAACTTTGTAAATCAATAGCAACTATTTTAATTAAAAGTATAAATATTTTAAGCCAAAAACTTTTATCAGACTAATTTATCTAAGACTGCCGGTGGTGAAGTGGCTAGCACATCGCGCAGCTGCACCACGGGCCAGGGGTTCGATCCCCACGATGGGCAAGGTTGACTAAGCCTTTCATTCCTTAAGTGGGTCGATAAAATTAGTACCAAGTTCACAAGGGGTCCTGCGACAAGCTGACCACTTGCCCAGGGCATATGCTGATGCACCTCAGGACCCAAGGTCAAGAAAGCAGATTTCGGAGCACTGCAGGCTGTGGTCCACTAGGTTTGTTGCACCACTGAGTTTAGTTTTTTTTATTTATCTAGGACAAATTTACTAAATGTAAAATAAGTAAGAATTTTAATAATAAATGTAGAAAAGTTTCCAAATTGGCAAAACAAAAAACCATATAAAAATAAAAGGCAAGAATGGAAAAAATGGAAATGGAATTCCAAAATGGGAAAATGGAATACTAATTAAAATATAAATTAAAAAAGGCAATATACCTGAAACTGGGAAAAATTAAATAAAAATAAAATGGAATAAATTAAGTCAATTAAATTAATTTGAATGGAATATGAAAAAGAAAATAAAAACTCAATAAAGCAGTAAATCCTCAAAAAATTTTGACTTGAAAATAAAATCTATAACTTAAAATCCTTAGATAAGATTTGTGTGACAGTGTTAAATTAATTACCTCCATTAGTAGATTTTCTGGTGCATTATTCATGTTCATTTAATGGTAATGAAAATAATGTAAAATTGGACTACTAGTATTACAGTAGTCCAATTATGTGGTCCGGTGCTTGCTAGGTATTAAAACTGACCCTCTTTACAATGATAGTCCAATTATTAACCCTCTGAGCGGCATAGGTTTTTGGATCTGTCACGACTTGTATTTATGCAACATTTATAAGCTAAATTTATATAATTTATTTTTTTAGCCTCTATTGTCAAAAACTTACATTCATTAAGATTACATTTACATTATTAAAGAAAGTCAGAAAGCAGAATATCTTAAGTTATAAACTAATATGTATCAAGTGACAAAAAAATCTCATGACCGGCTCAGAGGGTTAAAATCAAAAAATAGTTCTTGAAATTCTTGTAATAATGCTAGTTTTATATATTTTTCAGATGTTTCCTTTGAAATAATAGGCAGGATTTAAGATGTAGGAAATGCACAAAATATTTTGATTCACGTTGTGTTTTCCTGTAATTGTAATTTAAAATGTTTAATGGAAGCATACATGTCAATGATACGTTTCTTCTTTTCTTGCAGATTTTTATTGAGAATATTTAAATGTCTAAGTTAACTAGAAATGCTAATTCTGTTATCCATGTATTCTTTTAATAGCTCATGAATGGTTTTCTTTACTTATTTGTTTCACAAAAATTTTGATTTAATTTATTAAATCAAAAAACTGTTTTAATATAAGCTCCTCAACATAACTACCTCACCTCATTGCACTGAATAATTTATCAAAACTCACTTGATGATTCAGAGCTCATCCTCGGATCAAGTTTACTGTTTTAGTTATTGTTTCAACAACTTTATTCAAGTGCAAACTTTTGGCACAATGTTTACAACAAATACAAAACTAAAATGTATTTTCAGGCCATATACAATTGCTTTGGGGACCACCAGTTTCAGATCACTGGTCTACTCTATAAGACTCCATAAGAAAACGGCAACCAATCTCAATACTTTAAATAATATACATATATGGAAAATACTTTTCATTTTTACAAATAAAGCCACATTATATTGTCTTATAAACAATATAAATATATATAAACTGATCAGCCAAAACATTATGGCCATCTCCATATTTTTCAATTAACTCGTTTGAAGGACGGAAAGTGCACGTGATTAAGTGGGAATGGTATTTAACTACTGCTGGAGAAGGTAAGGAATCATTCTTGCACTTACTTTTGCAAATGATGGAAAAGGCTGCTGATCTAAGCAAATTTGATAGAGTGCAGATCATAAAGCCTAAAGACTCAGAACGAGTACCTTCGAAATTGCACAACTGGTAGGTTGTTCATTATCTGCCAATGTTAATATTTATGCAGAGTGGATAAATAATGGCAAAACCAGCAGTAGACACCAAGGTGTTGGACATCCATGCATCATCAAAGAAAAAGGACACAGCAGACTGTTCCGCAAGGTACAGCAAAATCAGCATCAGACAGTGGCTCAGTTGACAGCCCAATACAATGTAGGTCTAAGTACAAGTGTTTCAGAATACACAATTCAGCAGATACTGCTAGATATGACACTGTGCAGTAGACATCCCACTTGTGTGATCTCTGTTGACTAAGCATTGTCAACTAAGCCTACAGTGAGCACAGGAACATCCAAACTAGACCATGGATAAGTGGAAAAGAGTTGCAGGGTTGGATGAATCACAATTTTTCATTTATCATGTCGATGGTCGTGTCAGAGTTTGCTGTCTTCTAGGCAAACAGTTGCTTTCTCCCCTTGTACAACAGGTCATACACAGGCTGTTGGGTGGCAGTATAATGCTTAGGGATGCGCTCACATGGACGGCTCTGGGACCCTTAGTTATAGTAGAACAGACCATGAAAGCTGCAGACTATCTGAACATAATTGTGGATTGGTTGCATCCTTATATGGCATCTGTCTTCCCAACTGGAAATAGAATCTTCCATCAGGACAATGCCCTATGTCACAAGGCTCGAACTGCATTGGAGTGGTTTGAAGAGCATAAATGTGTATTCCAATTAATGTCCTGGCTATCTAACGTGCTGGATCTTAACCCAACAGAGCATACTTGGGATGTCATGGAGCAGCTGCTCCATGATTTGGTGGAGTTTAAACACCACCCTGTTGGAATATCTTGATTTTATGAGACCGCTGCTTAGACATTTGGAACAATGTGTCTCCAGTCATCTATCAAGAACTCATGGCATCCATGCTAAAGCAACTTGCAGCTGTTTTGTAAGCCAAAGGTCGCACAACACGTTACTGAATAGATGGTCATAATGTTTTGGCTCTTCAGTATGTGTGTCTATATATATATAGAGAGAGAGACAGACAGAGAGGGATAGTATTATCATGATGTTTTATACAGCCTTCACATATTGTCTAATGTTTAAAATTACGAAAATATATGAAATATCTTACACTGATTCATTACTTCATAGTTCCCAATCTTAAACATTTAAATAAAAAACATGCACATGAAAATTTATTACAGCTTTGTAAATTACCTTTAATTTCTCTTTTTCAACTTCTGCTGCTAAAGCATCTGCTATTTCAAGGAAACCATCAACAACAGTCTGAAATTCTGTTATTTCTAAAATTATAAAATATATAGAGAAATCAGTGCTTTCAAATGAGTTTTACCTACTAGATATAAAATTTATCTGAAATTAATATTAGCCTTTTTATTTTAAAAGTTGTTTTCTTTTTAATTTAATACAATTGAATCTCACATTAGTAAATACTAACAGGTCTAAGCCTTTAATTCTTTAAAACAAACAATTCTTTGTAGATATGCAAATAAATATCTTTCAGTAAGCATGATGGAAATTATGTTAAAATGTGTTATATTTGAATATATGGGATGGGGCAGAATAATTAGAAAAACTAACATATTCATAAGTGGTGTGGTGAAACACATATTGCTCAGTAAAGCATAAATTCATCAACAAGCAGAACTTCAGATACTGGGCAGCAGAGAACCCATGCACACTGCATCAGAAGCAAGTGGAGCATCAGAAGCTGAGGAATGCTTTCACAATACGTCATCTCTCTTTTCGGAGACACTGAATGGCCTCCAAGCTCATCAGATTTATCAACATGCAATTTTCTTCCCCTGAGGTGCTATTTATATGATAAGATCTATAACCTGTAACTTCATACTATACAAGAACTGAAATTCATGCAATTCTAATGAATATGGTGACAAAAATAATGGATAAATGCTTCTCTATGATTTTTTTATAACTGTTTACTTAGTTATTATTTAATTTTCAATTAAAATGTTCATTTTAAAGTTATTAGTCATCTAATTGTTTCTGCCCTACCCTGTAAAAATGTTTTGATTATAACTGATTTTTTAATCAATTCATTAAAAAAAAATTAAATCAAAGACTTTAATCATTTGTTTAACATTAATGATACTTCCCCAAACTGAAAATTACAGGTAGAAGTGGGTGGGATACCAAAAATTTACCACTGTGCATATATAGTCTCACTGCACTAACTGTGCAGTTCCATCCTAATTTTCAGGTAGAATACTCTTAGGGGGTCTGAGGATCTCCCCCCCTCTTTCCCCATGGAGGTAGGAAGTTAGATGGAGTGGCCCTAAACCAGTTTCCCCATACCCTGCTTTGAAGCACTGGCAATCCCTTCTTTGGTGACCAAAACACTGCGTAATTTACCATTGGGTTCAATGGGTTTTGAGACGATCGGATGTAAATATTTTGTAATTACGTCGTAAATATGCATATAAATGTACATATTTTCTTTTTCTACAATACTTCAGAGTCCTAAGTATATGAAAAAAATACATTTTTAAACAACATTTCATTTTTAACGGAATTAAATGCTATACTTTTCTCAGAACGGTTTGATTGAAATATTTTCACAAGTTTTCGTTAATTACATTAGAAAAAAATTTAAGGTAATTCGATTTGATTTGTTAAAGGTAAAAAAAATTAAGATCAAAGTTTATTGTATTATTAATATTAAAATTATGCATTATTTCTTTTCTATTTATAAAGCTTCTTCCTAAAATACTTTCTTAAATATGACATGATTTTTTGGCTTCTGAGGCATCTTTTAAATCGAAAAATATAAGTCAATTTATAATTAATGCTCTATTTTTCGGTTCATTTTAAATTAGAGAATTATTAGAAAATTAGCGAAATATTTTAAATAGTACTTAACTTTTTCACTTTTTCTGAACATTTCTGAAAGGGAATAAATAAAATAAGTTTTTTTTTTAAGTATATTTTAAAACTTGTAACTGAGTTATTATAAAATGTAAGGGAAATAATTCTTTTAATTATACTTATCAGATTTTTTGGTACTTGCGTATTATCGCAACCAGGTTGGCGCGATTTGTAAGTTTGAGTAAAAAAGTATGAATAGAAAGAAAATGTACATTTATTAATTACAGATAATTTTTAATACAGTTTTTTTTTATTATTTTTGTTTTAAAATATAAAATAGCAATTAAACCCTTCCGGTTTCAAATTTGAATAAGTTGCAGAATTATTTTTTTTGGCGGAAATCTTTTGGCTATTGCTTTTAGCACTGATTGAAAACTGTTTTCGCCATTAACAGCTTGAGCTTGGCGCCATATAAATTCGATAAGGTATGAGTCAAGATGATGAAGGGCTGTTCCTCTCTGTTTTTTGTTGCGCCATTTGGCTAAGCCCCACATGCGCTCTACATGTTGTGTGTGAACGCCCGTGTTGGGATCCACAAAGTTATATTTGTGATTAACAGTTCCATGCAGAAATCCAGCATTTTCGAACTCACTTGTATTGTATCCTTTCCAGCAATCCGAATAAATGATGCTTCCTTCCTTGACATTTTCGCAAATTTTTTCCATGAGGGTAACGGCGCTTCTGTTAGGTATAGTAACCAAAAAAGTCTCTTTCTTTTCTCGGCAAATTCCGCCGAAAACCCATTGCTGTGGTAGTACACACCCAGTGTTATTTATTCTTTTTACAAAACTACGTATAACATGTAGGGTTGCCGTAAGTAGGGTCGCCAAATTTGGCGATTTATGCGAATTTTGGCCTGGTTGCGTTAATACGTAAGTACCGATTTTTTACCCTTAATTTCAACAATACATATTCCAAAATTCTACTTTCTTAAGTGTGCATAGCATTTGCTTTACAATACCTTTTAACAGATTGCTTTCCAGTACGAACAATTCTTGCTTAAATAGTTTTATAATGTATTTGTCAACAGGATTTCAATTTATGTTTACAATTCAATATGAATTACAACTTCGTTTTAGCTCGAACTGATCATAACAAACCATTATGTAAGCAAAGTCAGCGCATAATTAAAATCAATTTGAAATCATAAGATCATATCAATAACGTAGAGGTGCTACTTTGGTAGACGGTTGCATGGATTTTTGGCGATTTACGATTGGCGCGATTTCTACAAACGTCAGCCATCTTGAAAAACGCTGTTTTTACGCATAGTAAAGTATTCGAAACTTAAAAAAAAAAAAAAAAAAAAATATCGTTAGAAATAATGGATTAATTTTTTTGTTGAAAATGTCGTTTTTTAAGATGGCAGGCAAGTGTAAATAAATACATTTACTGTGAGTATAAAATACTAAAGTAAGGTTATTATTACTTTCATATAGCAAAGAAGAGAATAAAAACACCGCTATAAAAAACATTGTGCCAAAGTTTAATTAGATTAAAATATTACTGAAATTGAATATCGAAATAAAAAACATCATCCAACATTTAAAAGAATTAGAATATTATTAAATTTAAATACTTTAAAATACGTTAATTATATAGAATAAATACATTTACTATGAGTATAAAATACTAAAGAAAGGTTAAATTATTACTTTCATATAGCATAGAAATAGAATAAAAATACCACTATAAAAACATTACGCCAACGTTTAATCGGATTAAAATATTACGTAAATTGAATATCGAATTAAAAACGAACGCTTCGTACACTAGAGCTAAAATGACAGCAATTAGTTTATTGTCGGTAAAAAAGGAGGAATGTCTTATAATTTTCTTACCGTTACAGCGGTTATTTCTTCCAACATGACCACAATATCATATACGGCCGTCTCAGAATCGGCTCTTCTAACGGTCTTCATCTGTGATCTACATTTTCGCACTTCATTGAAGAAACAATTAGCGACATTTCCTCCAAAAATTTAAAATAAATTTCCTCTGACCCTTGTAAGAATTTATAAATAAATCTTTGATTAGGAAAGCCAGGCTGGCGAAAATAAGGTCTCAAAGGACAATTTTTTGATTCCGAAACCAAAAATTCTTGGTACTTATCAAAAACAACATTCAATCTTTGAAGGAGACATTTTTTCCTATGAAATCTAAGGAATTCGAAGATATGGAAATTAAAATTTTAAAATGGCGCCGTAATGCACAAATTTTTCAGCAACCTATCAGGGAGTTGATTACAGCTCATTAATGCACAAATATTCTATAACCAATCAGAGAGCTGATTACATCACGCCTAGAATTAAAATTGTTTAAATAATAATACATAATAAAATCATTTTAAAAAAGAAATGCAAATCTAAATTGTATTTTAATATTTAACAGCCATAAATAATGCTTAAAACATTAGATTAAATTTATAGATATTAAAACCAATTACTTTTAAAGTAAGGTGACGTCACTGATTACATCATCCACAGCATAAAATTTCATAAAATATGATAAAGAATAAAATTTTTATTTCAAATAAAAATGCAAAATTAAATTGATTTTTAATATTTAGAAGCCATAAATACTATTTAAACGCGGAATTTATGCATAATAACACGCATTATTTTTTAAATAAAATGTCAACAAAGTATCGGTTAACATAAATAACTTATCCAGCAATGGGTTTACCATAAGTCGTATTACTCGCCAAAAGAAAAATTGCCAAAAACTCGCCAAAATCCGTGCAACCGTCTACCAAAGTAGCACCAACGACATTTTCAACAAAAAATTAATCCATTACTTTTAACGATATTTATTTTTTTTTTTAAGTTTCGAATACTTTACTATGCGTAAAAACAGCGTTTTTCAAGATGGCTGACGTTTGTAAAAACCGCGCCAACAATTGCGCCAACGTAAATCGCCAAAAATCCGTGCAACCGTCTACCAAAGTAGCACCTGATTGCGTTTTTTGACTTAAAAGAAAAACCAGATTCTCCATTACAAATGAAGAACATACGTCTTGGATATTTTATTTATTCACATTTATCATGCATTATTTATTGCATCAATGGTAAACAGCCATATAGTACACAGCCATATTTCAGAATATGGCTGTGTACTTTAAGCGTACTTACTAACAACTGAACTAAGATTTCAAAACTTTATATGCAAAGTACTCAAATGTACCTTGGAAGGGAAGCAGCAGGGCATACTGATGCAGATAACAGGCACGAACTAAAAATGACATTTAATCAAAATGAATATTTGAAATTGTTACTTTACTTACTGCTTACATACTCTTTGCATTCTTCTTTCAGTGCGTTTGTTTTCTGACTAGCTTCTGGATCTAATACTCGAATTTTATTTAAATCATCAAAATATAAACCGATTTTTCTAAGTGTTTCCGCCGCCATAATATAAACAATGCGGATCTTATTGCCAATTTTGTTTGCTAAATATGTTTTAAAAGCATATTGTTTAAAATGAATGATTATTATTATCATTATTAGTTCAGATATTGTTTATTCATTTGAAAAATAAAAGCATACTAAATTGTTAATTTTTTAAGACGAATTACTTTGTGTATAATTTGACGGCTTGAAATCTAATTTCTCTTCTAAGTCTATGATTAATGACATTGAAATTTATTGCAATCGTTCTCTTGAAAGCTTCTTTCGCTTTCTTTTAACAAGCAAACGTGATTTTTTTAAAAAATTATTTGTACCACATCTCCGATTAAACAAGAGTGTACTTGGATGCACTTATTTTTGAGTATGTGTTGCCAAGGCTAGTTGGCCTTGGTGTTGCTTAGCAACGATGTGTAATCGTTTTGCTATAGACTTAGCATATATGCGGAAATAAATAAAGATAAAAGAAATTTATTGTTTCTAAACATGACACCTAATATAATAAGGGCAAAATGTATAATAGTTGGTATGGCATTATGTTTCTAAATAAATGTGCAAAAATTTTTGGAAAATATTGGTCATAACTTTCAACAAATTGGATATACGATGTAGATGTCTGTTAAGTATTGTGTTGACTGTGATGCTTTTTCTTGTGATAGACAGTGTATGAATTTCAGGAATTCTGTTAAAATAATCATTACTTTTCTGTTATCAGGATCGGATTTAGAAATGTATATATGTAAACATGAATGTAAGGTGGCCCATTTTCAAATTTTGCTTACCCTCAATTAATTTGTAAATCTGCCTAAAGGGGGGGGGCAGTACGTATTCAAAATATTCAAACTTAGCTTGACCTTTTAGACAGATTTACAAATTAATTTTGGTTAAAATAATCTCAAGGTAATGGACTTGACATGAAGTGGAAGACAGATTATTTTTCTGTTGATTTGTAAAAGAAAAAAAAACTTCTGTAATTAATTTTTATCATGAATATAACACACTAATAGTTCATATTTTAAATTATTAAACTTCTTTATTTAAAAAAATAAATTAGGTTGCAAAACAAAAAGGTTTAATAACATGAAAGGAACAGGCATTTTTACCTACATTTGAAGATTTATATCTAAAAAATTTCAATTGATTTTTTTAATATTTTGAATTGTAGAAATATATTTATAGTCATATTTATGCAATGCATTGCTCAAATTAAACTTTAAGCACAATTTATCTTGAATTTTATTTCTTTTCTTCTGGGACAGCATATGTAAGCAAAGTTTGAAAATGGGCCAGGTATGTACATATGTAAATGTGTACACACACATACGTACATACCTGCATGTGGTAAAAGTATAGTTTAGGGTACCCCTTGGCAATTTTTGGCGGTACATGGATACCGATTTTGTGCAATTCTTTGACTCGTTATTTTGGCATGCGAAGTGGCGATTTTTGCGCCAAAAATCGCCGCTTCACAAAGTCAAAATAATAAGACAAACAATTCACAAACTCGGTATCCATGTACACATCGACTTATTTTCATCGGTTTATATTTTGATGATTTTCATTTTGATTAAATGTCAAGCTAAGTTATTATATTAACTTTATAGATTGAATATTTATAAAATAAAATCCCCAAATTGCACAAAAATGGCATTGCGTACTCCTTTGACTTTATCCATGTACACGTTGACCTATTTTCACTTTAAAAAAAATCCCCGAATTGCACAAAAATGCCCTTTACTTTGTCCATGTACACAACGATATATTTTCACTTAAACAGTCAAAGGAGCATCAAATTCTACAATATAGGCAAACAAAAAATACATAATCTCAATAAAATACATTTTAAACCAAACAATAAAAATAACATAAAAAAGGAAAAACATGTTATCCATTTAAGCACTACCAAAAGCAAATATTCACTTACCATGATTTTCGAGTTCGCTTCGTACACCCAGAGCCACGTGAAAATCAAAATATCAATCATACTCAAATGACTTTTTTTCAAACCAGGTACTCTTTCTGATCGAACGCTTCACATAGTGACCATCTGAACCTTTATTTTTACAAACCCATTCAAATCCATCTAAACGGTTTTTATGTTTGACTAGACGCATATCCTTCCTACATACAGGACACTTATAATGGCTACTAAGTAAACCTTCATTTACACACCGGTCAATTAAAGCTCTTTTCCCCTTTTGCTCCAAATCGTACAGAAACTTCAAATTACAAATTAATCTTACTACATTCGGCCATTCTACTGTCTAAAGAAGAAAACCAACATGCACCACAAAAACGCTTACAAAACATCCCATGATTCAAAATTTCTTAGAATCATGCACCCGATTACGTCACAATAGGGTTTCCATAACATTCAACTACTCAGGCTACCATAAATGAAACAACTTGGCAATAAATGAAACAACAGCTTCGCCATAATACAAAGGGTACCTTAAAGTCTACTCTACCCCTGCATGTTTGCATGCTTACATGCATTTCTGAATCTGGTCCTGATAACAGAAAAGAGCCAAATAATTTAGCAATATTCTGCTAAAATACACTATGGTTTCCTTCAGATGCAAGTTAATGAAATATAAGCACTACAAACATAAAAAGAGACTAACAAATTTTGTATCAAGTTTGAGTGTGCAAACATTGAAAACAAATCCGCTAAAATAAAATCAACGAAAAAAAAAATTCTTTATCTGTACTTGCATTTGAATTATATTAATCTGATTATCAATAATTTAATCTGGAAGCATTTTATCCAATAGTTTAAAATTGTAGAATTTGGCTTATTGCAGTGTATGAATATTAGCCATTTTGCTTAAAGTGTTGTCCCTAAAGGCATCACTTCCATTAGTTAGATAGTAACATGCTTTCTTATAACTAATGAAACCAACACTATCTGAAGCATTTTTTTAAAAAAATTTTTGGGGTGTATAATCATGTTGAAAAATGTTCAAGAAAAACTGAGCTTACAAGTACATTTTATTTATAACTGAATGAATTTGTTTAAATTCTTTTATTGCATTCAGAACTGTATATAAAAATATAAGATTTTGTACTAATTACACTTTTCTTTCATTTTTCATTCATCTTAAATGCTAAAAGGTATTAAAGGGATGTATTCATGAAAAGACACTATATTAGATCATTGAAAATTAGTCTTGTGTCTCAGATCTCTTTTCTCCCTCTTTTTTTTCGGGGGGGGGGGGGGAGGAGAGGAGGATGATTTTTTACCTTGCATAACATGAATATCAATTAGTTTTCTTTACAGTCTTTCATACAGGTATCCTTTACAAGTCAAATAGCCTTTCAAATATTTTGCCTTGTTTTATGTATTTAAATTAATGGAAATAATCAGCTTCCCATCTTAAAATCAGTAATTTTGCTTTTAGGAAAATGCATTTGCATTATAATGAAGGTGTATTAAAAAAAAAAAAAAAAAAAACTTTGAAAGTTTGGTTTGGTTTATTTTATTATAGTAAAGCATTCAAGAGCTATCTGCAATAAGGAAGGGGTGCTTTTGTAGAGGACTTTCTAAGGGAAATTGGCTCATATATACATTACAAATGGGGAAAACCATTAAAGTGCCCATGTAGCCAGCCAGTTCACCTGGAATCGAACCGAGGTGAGACTACCAGTATTCAGCGACTTTATCACTTTGCTGTTCATAAGCTCAGATAATTAGTTGAAAGAAGAATTTGGGAAATGCATTGATATGAATATAAGAATTATGAATTTTATTAATCATTCAAATTATTTTTTTAAGTATTTGATGTGATATATATATATATATATATATATTTAAAATCTCTTTGTCATTATTAAACATTATCATGTTTGTTTTTTCAATTAATTATTGCACTTTTATTTGTAAATTTCATTTTTATAACATATATATATGTATATATATATATATATATATATATATATTTCCAATATGATTTAGGAGATGCAGCAGTTGGCAAATCAGCAATCATCCATGCATTTCTTCATGACAGTGAGAAATTTCAGAAAAATTACATAATGGTATGAAAGAGCAAGAATTTCCTTTTCTTTTGAAATTTCAGTGCATTCTTTAAATTTGAAAGTGTTTTATGAAATACTTATATTTATATATACTATAAATAAACTATCTATTATTCAATTTCAGACTTGTGCATTAGAAATAAAATCAAAGATGATAAGTGTTCCAGATACTAATGACGCTGTTGTGAGTAATGATTAAAAATTTCTTTAAATTAAAAAAATGCTTTCCAAATTTGCTCTTAAATAAAAAATATGTATGTTTTTCAAATATTGTTTTAAATTGCATTTTCCTAAAAACCTTTTAGTGCAATGTCATAAAATTTCAATTAAAAATGAAAATTTTAAGTTTATAGATTGAAAGTTTTATTTATCTGGAGCAGGGTTTTCAACAGGGTTGATACTGACTCAATAAGCGTTGATGAAATTTTAATAGGGCTTAAAGATGATCAAGGGGTCGATGGCCAAATATGCATTGGTAATCAATCCACATACTCAAGATCCTATTGATTACAAAAAATATTAATAAAATTATAATTAGTAGTTGTTTATTGGTATAAAGCTATATCACACATAGTAAGGAAGAAATCATATATGAAATAAAAAAAAGGGGCAATATACAAAAAAAATTATTTAATATATTTTTAAAATCAATAATATTTCTTAACATATGTAATTTTTTATGCAGTAAGTCCAATATATAGGAGTAAAATGCAGGAACACAAGAAAACACAATAAAAAACATAAAAAATGCAAAACTTCCTCAGAAAATATGTTCCATATATAATCCACTAGCAAAATTAAAAAGATTTCAGTGTTTGCTTCTTGAACTTCATTGTTTCAGTATGGTTCTTACAGCCACTGAACTACAATATATTTGATCTTGATATTATGATGCAAGAAGAGCTGATTGAATTGAAGGAGGATGTTCAAGTATGTCTTATTCAAAACACATAATATTCTAAGTTTTAGAATTTAAATGTCATCTGAAGAAACATCCTCAAATAAATGTTGTTACCAAACCAGCATTATTGATTTTCTTCTCTTCTTACATAGTTTGCAAGCCGGCTTTAGTCAAGTCAGTATTAAAAAAAAACAAAAGAAAGGTTGAATACTTTTTTTTATTTAAGAATTAAGTTGAATATTAAAAAAAAAATTGTGTTACTGCATCGAGCATAGTGATCTTGTTGATTAAAATTGAAGTTTTATGCAATTAGAATCTGTGGTTTTGTTTCTGAAAACATGAGTACTTCCTTGTTATAGTGGCCACCAAAACTGAATCACTAATCAGCCAAGATATCTCGTCAAAATCTTGCCACGTGCTCTCATACCTCGCTACGTATTACATTTTTGCTCTTCACTACATGTTCTTTTAGCATAATGCTTCATTTTTGTTAAATGCTTCAAATTTGCATTAGCTTTTTTGAACATATATATATATGTAATAATAAAATTCCATAGTCAAGAATACACTTAAAATTCTAACTGTATGTTCTTTTCATTTTTAATGGCGGCGGTCTCTTATTTGAAAGTATGTGGAATTAAATCCACAGCGCCGTAGTCAAGTTGTTTTTCCCGCCTTTTCTACACGTACAGTCATAGAATGTTCTGGAGATATTTAAAGCGAACTGGAATGGCTGACGAGGCTGACATCATTTCTTGGAAGCTCCGCCTTTCCAGAGGCTATAAAAGGACTCACAAAAGAATATCGGGGGCTTTTCTTAAATGTCACAATGCAGTAAACTTAATACAAAAAGTTATTAGTAATTCTTTTTTATATTTACTCCGGATATCTGATTTTGTAACTGCTATTTCTCCTGACCAATAATAAATGAATCCTGTTTTTTTTTTAAACTTATCGTCTGATAATTTAAGCTACGACTACATTTATGATTCTTCACCAATCTATTTATTCCAGATAAAAGCTGGTACATCACATATATATATGTGTGTATATTTTGTGTGTGTGTGTGTGTGAATATGTGATTAACAATCTTTAATTTACCAAATAAAGAGGTGGATTCCATATATTTTTTTCAACAAAGAGGTCTTTTACCTGACAAGCAAATATGCAAAAAAAGCCTTAACATGAAACTATATAGTATTAACAATGAAACCATTAGAAGGTGCAATGTTAAAAATCATAAAAGAAAGAAGGGCCTCTGTGCTGGAAATTCAGTGGCTTAAGAATATCATTCATCACTACTATTAGATTTAGGTGTTCTTGGGTAAAGGAGTTGATTTCCATCAAATGGTGTGACAAACAGTTTAATACATGTGAAAATGCTGCAACTAATTGGAACTGTTACATATGGAAAATGTGTTTCCTACATCTGATGCAAAGATTCAATAAGCGAATGGGCAGTCTCAATTAAAATAGGTGAAATCAATGAAAGATTTTTGTCTAACATAAGAACAACTGTGGCAGAGTACTCCCACAATAGTGACTTTTTAGAGGAATATGCCAGGAAGTTGGTGAGTGCTTTGCATTCAAATCTCAAATAGAAATGCTGGTATGCTTATGGAGAAAATATTCAACATGTACAAGAAGATGGATCAATGATCTATTCAGACTGCTGGAATGGATATAAAATGGAGCAACCTGAAGAAACTGATTAGAGTCACTTTACTGTGAACCATATGTAAAATTTTATAGATCCAACAATGGTGTTCATATTCAAAATGTGGAAAGAATCTGGGGTTTAGCTAAGTGGCATGATAAAAACAATGGAACATGACTTGACATCACCTCAAATCATATCTTTTAGAATTTACGAGGAGAAAGTATATAGGAAAAATGATGCTTTTGATGAGTTGTTGAAAGCAATTTTGGAAATGTAGCCTTGTAATTACTATTATTAAAAATATTCTTAGGAAACCATGTGAGCATTATTGTATACTGTGTCATTTATTTTTATCTTCATGCTTCATGAGCTGGAGAGATACCTCAATTGATTAGCTATTCAGTCTTGGGGGCTCTATAATAAGAAAGTACCAAAAGTGGTTTATATTTGTACAATGAGAAATAATAAAATATAAATCTAAAAGAAAATTTTTTTCAAAACTTTTGTTCATACTGTTAGTGTAATTGTTATTTTAAAGTTATTTTTGTGTATTTTATTTGTAATTATGTTGCATACTTTATTATTATACAGAAAAATGTAAGGGGTTTGATGAAGGAAACCATTCTTTAAAAAGGGATTGATATAAAAAAAAAAAAAAAAAAAAAAGTGTTGGAAGTCCCTGATCTAGAGCATATACATAAATTTATCCTGTAGAATATAATTTATTCACTTTCTTAAATAAAGCCACTTTGTCTAGTATTTCTGTCTAGTACTGGTTTGAACCATTGAAACTAGTCCTGTGAGAATTTGCAAATATATCACTGATTTTTGTTGTTTGACTTCTAAATTAGTATTTCTGAGTTTAGCAGTTTATGTATAAGTTTAACTAAATCACAAAATAGTTTAGAATATGATCAGTAATCTCAAAACAGATAATAAAAAAGTAACCATTTTGAAGTAATTTACTTAAATTATAGTTCTATGTAATTATACTACTATTTGATTCAAATATTATTGGTAATCCTCGTAATATTTTAAATTTATCTTTGAAAACCTTAACTATCCATCTCTTATTAAATATAAGTAATATTTCCATATATTGATTATTAAATAAACCTCCTATTAAGAATATTTATTCTTTTGATATAATAACATTTAACATATATGTAAGTTTTAAAAAATTAAATGCAATGAAATGTAATGAAAATTTCAGGAACTGCTGCTGTTTGATTCATCTGGGAAAGACACATATTTAGATTTTCAAATTAAAATGGTAAAACTGTTATGTATTTATTTTATTTCAATTTATTTAATTAGGTGATTAAAATTTATTAAAATACATTAATGAGTTTTGTATGATAATATTTGCAATGTGATATAATTTTTTCAAGTGAAACAAAATTGTTTCTGAAATTTTACTCAAACATTTGCTGTTTGTGACTAAATAAAAAAAAAAGTATACCTTAAGAGAAAAAAAAAAAAAAAAAAAAAAAAAAAAAACCTATATTTAGTTTTTTGTGAAGATTTGTGGCTAAATAAATGATAAAATTTTTAGAATAAATAAAATAATTTCTATTCAGAATTATTAATGTGGCCCTGATAGATCTGACTTTCACATATTTATCTGTTTTCGCCTAAAAAATTGCATATTACATTTTTAATTTTCCATAACGGCGAACAGATACTGTATTTACTTGTAAATAAGATCTCTCTCAAATAACTCTCCTTAAAGTTTAGGATAAACTTTAACAAATAAAAATATAGGTAAATATTCGATAAGAACAGGAGTGTTCTTATTAGAAGGAAAAGAAAGTTTTATTAAATGTAATATTTTGCTATGGTGTAAAAAGAAAAATTAGGAAAAGTTAGTAATACATTGTCACTGATTTGTTTTCAAACAGTATAGTGGTGTTTTCAAACAGTATATATTTGTAACTAGTACAGTGGATGCAAACTAAATTGAAATCATTTAGCTAGATGTGTTTATTATAATTAATTGATAGCTGTGCAGTTTATATATGCAATGATTTGGCTTATTTAGAATTTTCACATTGTAATTATTCTGCACATTATGTTAATTAAATCACTTTCCCTCATTCTCCAATTTCATTTATCAAAATATGTGTGTATAGGACTTGCTAAATTTTAGCACAAAAACATAGCAATAAAAGAGCTTTTTTTTGTTGTTGTTGTTTGTTTTCAAAGAAAGTTTTATTTTACTGCAAGTAAAATAGAATTTAGGGTTATGAATATAAATTCTGAAATCAATAAGCTCTTCTTTTGCTTGATTTTTTGAGTTCTTCAAAGTTATTTAATACTAGAATATATTTTTTTCCAGTTTTTAAAGCTAAATTTTGCCTTGCTTTACATTTATAAAGTTTTAATTGTAATATCATTTTTCAATATTTTGAAATTAAATTTTTTAACTTAGCCAGAAACTCAAGAAATGATTATCTTTAAGTGTAACCATTTGGAATTTATATGAAATAGGATTTTAACAGGACTAGGAATACACTGATATGTGTTTCACATATTTTGAACCATAAAAATAAAATCTGTAGCAGTATGTAATACATAATGATGCTTAGAAGATTATTACAGTAATGATGATTAACTACAGTAATGGTATAAATACTAATGAATCATGCTGCTTTCTAAAAGTATCAAAATGGTATGAAAAAGTACATACATTCTTTTAAAATCTTTCAACTTCTTATAGTAATAAGCAATGCATTCTTATAATATGGGATGTCAAAAGATATTTTGTACCATGTATAAAGTAGCATTACTTCTAATATCACGAATAATGCACTATGGATTAGCAGTCAAATAGAACATATGGTCTACCTCAATGAATGCTAATTTGGTAATGTAATATAAGATGATGAAATACAAAATATGAATTGGACTAGCGGCATTTATAACATTGCTGTTCATGCAGCGAGTTCATTTTACCAGAAACTGAACAAATACTCTTATAGTTTAAAGGTCTTTTTTTTATTATTATAATTTTTTAAAGTATTTTATTTATTTATTTTTGGAGAGTGAGTAGGTATATGGTTTTCAAATAAATTGATTTTTTTTTTCATTGAGGTTTGATTAATGTTATTTATACTATTTGTATTTTATACTACATATATAGAATATAGAAAATTAAGTTATTATTTAGATCGCTTATATTTGAAGATGAAGCCTATTTTAAATTAAAATATTATTCTATATACTTATTTATTATTTTATTACATTGTGCATTCCTCATACTGATTATGTAAAAACTCTTATACTTACTTAGCATTGATATAGGACTTAAAATTTTAAGTATTTAAGGTAGATTATTATATGCTAAAGAAATGTTAAAAAAGATAAAGATAAAATTAAATTTTTATGGTCTAAAATTAAATTATATAGAGTTTTTTTTTTTTTTTTTTTTTTAATTTTTAGCTTTGTGTATGTCCATGCATTTGTATACATGATTAATCTCAACTTTAATCTTAGCCTTTTCAAAAACTTGTTACAAATGTTTTAGAATGATATATGAAAACTTTATTTTATAAATGAAAACATTATCTTATAAGGTTTTCTTTACCTAGTAAAAGTTAAATACACCAAAATCCTAACAGATGTAAAGCGAATTATTGCTGTGTCTGAAAGTAACTACAGAGATTTAAAAAGGTTTAAAATATTACCTTTTTATTTAAACATGGACTTCGCACATTAAACAAACATAAGCACAAATACATGTGATTGTGCTAACAAAGTCAACTATAAGTCTGGGCGATTCAACTAAATAACAGTCAAATTCAAATTTAAAACACAGAATAGTATTAATCAAAGACTGTTTAATAAGGTTTTGATCTAAGCTGGCTGAAAACTTCTAATCGGTGTACCAAATTCAAATGTTGCCAGCTATAATGCAAAGCCAAATAGTTACAAACTTATCAGACCTGGCAGGAACTAAATAATATTGTGCGAAAGACAGAAATATCCTCTGTCTTACAATCCATAAACATCAGCTTAAATACTAGCTAACTGTATACATTCTGGTGAGGAAACAGAAAGAAAAAGTTATAATAAAGATCCAAATCATAAAAACCTGATAAATTTAAATAATAGTAATTGTACAATATGATGCACATAATCAAAGCTTCTGATAGTTATTTTGAGCTCTGCAAATAAATAATAAGGTTACAAATTAACTTAAGCACTCCTATACATTACATACAGACCTATGCAAAACAAACTGTTGTGGAAACCAAACTCTTTTCAAAATGGTAATAAAGGAACTGTCCCTCACCAGAATGCAGAATTACAAATGACTAACACCTGTTCCAAAGGTGTTAGTCATTTGTAAATGCTGTATATTTGCTACGGAAAATAAAATTCTTATGTATTGCATATTTACTCAGTTTTAATATAATTATTTTTGTTGTTCACTGTTACATAATTTATTTTGGTATTAATGTAACTTATTTATGACCCAGACTTTTTCTTTTCTGTGCTACAAGCATCTTTAAGTTATATATATTATGTCTTTCATCTATTTATGCATAGACATCAAGTATTTTTAAATTTTGAGAATTTCCTTCTTTTGTGTTTGGTAATATCTGTAAATAAGTTCCGACAATTTCCTTCTTTTGTGTTTGGTAATACCTGTAAATAAGTTCAAACAATATAAAAGTTTCAGAAATAATACAAGTAATGGTTGATTTACTTTTTCTATTTTAAGTTTTAAATGCTTTTAGAAAAGGAAATAATTAACAAGAAAGAAAATCGGGTAGGCAAGTTTCAGTAACTGAATATGCAGGATTCCTAAATAAAATTATACCTAAACTTAACTCTAAAGCATTGCAGCGCAACTTTTATTGACGAAATCAAGTAACATAACAATGGTGGCATGATTTATATAATGAAAAGTGTGATTTTAGATTTTTTTTTTTTTTTTTTTTTTTTTTTTTTTTTTTCTATGGATACTTTTTAGTAGTAGTAGTAGTTCTTACTCGTTCAAGTGTTGCTCCCGAATTAACTCGGGCTTACCGAGTTAAAACGCGGCACTGAACAGGTTAAACGTGCTGCAATACACTGTGCTACATAGCTACTAATAAAAGAAATGTATCGAATTCGATCTGGGTATGCGTTTATTTGGGACATTCTTTATAAACTGTAAGCTTTTTTTGAAGTTACTAAACATAACATGCAATATTCTTGTAATTTTTGAACACAAACGATTTGCTTTCCGTATTTTAAAATATATTCACTTACAGCAGTCAAAGAATTAAGTGTAAGATAAAGTTTTCGTAAATTTTTTCATTGTATATTGTTTGAAACTTATGTTTGTTGATTCGTAAGTTGGTTAAATATAATGGTATAAATTAATATTTATACAGCACCTAACCTTGAATATAATAAAAGAAGACCAAAGTTATCTTAATCCCTTGCATAGTCATATTATACAAAGTTTACTGTACATATGTCTTGCTATTAAATAGAAAATAAAGCACTCAAACCGATATGGGATTAAAAATAACTTTTGCTGAATGTTAAAGAATATATAGCAATAGCTCGAAGTTACCCGATCGGTGGGACGGATGAAAAACGCATACTTCAGTCAAACTTTGCATATATATATCGACAAAATTTTAGTTAAATAGGACCGAGGGTTAAAAGAACGCTTTTTTAGATAAAAAGTATATGATAAAGAATGTAGTTTTTACACATATCAGGAGAAGATAGTGTTAAAAAATGTGTCATATAAAACGGGTTATTTTGATGCTTATAGCTTCATAAAATGCTATTTTGCTTATTTTGAATTTATATTGCTTATTTTGAAGACTTAATGACATTTTTAAAGTTTCTTCATAGCAAGTTAATAATAATTATATTTTCTTATCTTGTAACTAGAACGCTTTATTCGTTAGAGTCTATATTCTCCAAAATTTGTAACCTCTTTCGATTGAGCCCAGACCTTTTATCAAGCTTGCAATTGTCTCATATTTTTCTGGTGGATCCGGGTCTGAGTTGTCGGCTTCTGCAATAACGATTTTTTTCACACATTTCTTTATGTTCATTGATTGTCAGCTTTTTGCTGTGTGAGTCCGACAATTCGCTGACATCTTCACTAACAACTTCCAAATGTAATTTTTTGCCTGGCAATTACATGAGTGATTTGATCTGTTTATGGCGTTGTTTTGTCTCACTTTTGTAGAAGAATGGACAAATTTGCTTCCAGACACCTTTCTGCGTATTTTGAATTGAATTGTTCCAACAACAACTTAACAGCTGCAAATCTTTTTTTTTTTTTTCTTTTGCCTGACAAGACTGAAACTGTCTTCTATTATATGAGTGACTTGATCAGTTTTTGGCGTTGTTTCATCTGGCTTTTGAAGAAGAATGGGCAAATTTTCTTCGAGACATCGTTCAGTGTATTTTAAGTTTAATTGTGTAAAGAAACTGGAGGAGGAGAAAATTAGGAAACTCTTGATTTCGAGTTTCGACTCTTAACTTCAAATGACTTACCATATATACTATACTATATACAAGATAATTTTACAAGATGCTTTTTTTAATGTTTTCCGTTATAAGACAGATGCGCCACATAATTTTCTACAAAAAAAAAAAAAAAAAAAAAAAATGTGTCAATGTTGCTTTAATGTTACTTTTAAATTAAGTGTTCTTATCTCTTATAACAGATTTAATTGATCAGCGAGATATATTTTCTGTGTTAAAAAAATTTTTAACAACAGTCGAAATCAGCTGATGACAAAAGTACGTTTTGTCGCTAGACGCATATATCTTTGGTGCATGTATCTTTCTAGGAAAATTGCTTGGCGGATGTTGTCCTGTAAAGGAAAAGATATATTTTCTTTTTTAATTCTGAAACAAAATTTACACTATTAAGCTAAAACAGATATCTGCATTTAAAATTTTCTTCTGTACCCTCTCAAGATATATTATTTGCATGAAAATGAAGAAAGGTGGGTACTTTTCCGTTTCGCCGGCGCAAATCTCGCCAAGCAGACTTTATTGGCGACAACATACAGTATACACATAAAAATATTTAAAAATTTTAGTTCTAAGAATTTTTTTATTTTGAAGGCATAAACATTTTATATCGCTTAAATTTTATAAAAAGCCAATAATAAAGACAATACATTATAAAAGACACAATTAAGAATTTACTAATGCGGTTGATCTTACATTATGGTAACTTGGCGATTTTTTGGCGAAAATTTGGCAACCAACTCTCCTACAGCAACCCTCTATTTTTTTCCCCCGCCGCCATTTTTCTTCACGAAGTAAGACATTTTCTTTTTTCTTTTCTTTGTCTACTGAACACTTCTTCCAACATCATCTACTAGCCGAATTACACTTATGCTAGAAATTTTATCAAACAAAACTGCTTAATCATGACAAATATTTCACTGCAAATTGGGAAAAAGTGCACAATACCATACTCCTTACCGTTTTTCAAAATAACACATACACATAAACCATGTACACGCCGACTTATTTTTACTTAAAAAACATCCCAGAATTGCACAAAAATGGCATTGCGCACACTCTTCACTATATCCATGTACACTGCTTTTTTTCTCATAAATTAGAAAAATTTCACGAAAATACATGACAATTTTCTCAATCTTTAAACCCGGTAAAAAGAACATATATGAAATTACCTGATCGCGAAAAGTATTTACCCTTTACAAATATGAACATTTCCCACATATAAAATAAATAAATATCCAAAAACTTTTACCTCTAAATCATCTATTACATTATACACGTCACCAACGAATTCATACCGCAAGCATTACAAATACTTATATCAAATATTTAAATTATTTCCATGCACGTTTATTTCAACTTAAACGTATACCAAATTCCTACAAACATAAAATTCAGAAAATAACTATAATTTAATTAAAATATAATTAAATTCAAAAACACTACTTAAAATATAAGGAGCACATACATTAAATAATAAAAATTACCTTACAATCCTAATTACTTTAAACTAAATCATTGCTAATAACAATTTTCCCAATAATACCAATTCCTTTTCACCTTACATTTAGAACAATGCATAAAAATATATCCTCAAATAATTAAAATACTAACTTACCTAATCTTCTCAGAATCTTGATTACGTGGCGGATACCCTTCTAATTCATTCATAAATTATTAAAGATTTTTTGTGCGAATTTTTCCTCCATAACTTCCTCCGCTAAATAAAAAGCAAACTTCTCTTTATCACAATGCCTAAATACCCATTCGAATTCACTTTAGTAGGGCCATGGGATCCAAAATTAAACAACACTGTTTTCACACAACACAGAATAAAGCTAAATACAAATTTCCACATTTTTCGATTTCCCCCTTTTCCGATAAGAACCGTAATTCGTCCATTAATATCTCATGACATATCCCATGATCTCTCGTTTACCTCACACAAAATAATGCGTAATCGGAACTGAGTACTGCTCACATTATTACCAAGTCCCAGGTAACCTTTATCCCTCCAAAATGTCGCCAAACTACAGTTACATATTGTAAAGATCACCTACTATGCTCATGGTTCACATCCTGATTCCGCCGGTACATCACGTGACCCCAAGCGATCTCATCTCACGCAAACTATTCTACAAAAATCTAATGCTCTCAGTATTATCTACATTAATTTCAAGTTAAATCTAATTTGGAACACAAGTTTTAAATGCAAGAAAATATTTTAATTCGTACGAATAGCTTATCTCAGAAATTTTGTAAAACTGCAGTGCTTTACTTCGCTAATGCATTCTCATTAGAATTGATGAATTTAACCCTGACTTTACCTTTTCTATATTTTCGGCTTCGGGTAGCGCTGTGATTCATCCTAATTGACTTAATTACCGAAAGGGCCTTAGACATAAAACTGAACTATTGATAAAAATTCGATGAATTTATGCCATATTGAAGAAACAATCAATCTGAGAAGAAATGGCTGCGACTTGTTTTGAAAAGGAGGCGTTAAGGGGCTACCAGCAAGGATATTCTGTTTGGTATTGGTTGTACCAATATTGGCGACTTTATCGCTTGCGCCGGCAAAACGGAAAAGTACCGAAAGGTGGAATATTAAGTTAAACATTTAAATCATTAATATAGGGGGGGGAACTAAATTTGAAATTCGTACATTTAGAGGTGCGTAATATTTTGCCCTTTTTCTTTAGTGGCATCATCCTTCTGTTGTTTGCGTTGTCTTTGACTTAACTGATGAAAATTCATTTAACAACTGCTCCAAGTGGTTGGATGCTGTTAGAAATACTGGTCGTTATCTAACAATCCCTGGTAAGAATTATGTTTTATTGCTGTATTCTCTTAGTTTAGATTTGACTGACTGAAATTTTCTTCCGAATAATCAGATTTTATGATAGATGTAAATATCCCTTTTTGGCTCTACTCTTATATGTGCCCTAATTTCACCAAATGTGGCGATATGTGTTCTGCGCTGGTTTTTGGCGCAACTCTGTTAACGTTGAAAAATCTTTTGCTGGAATGGTTTAATTGCTCGTTGGTTCGTGTCGTGTGTCTTTTGAAATGGCCTATGTTGCAATGATAGACGTGGTGGCAAGATTTCAGTCGCGTATTTTAGATTGTGTGGAAAGTAAATTTAGTATTAAAAGGTACGATGTTGGAATTGTTAACGAGTCTTTTGTTCACGAATGTCTTTATGACGATTGAAGTGTATTTTTGGAATTGGGTATTAAATTTGTATTTGTGGGACTTTTAAAACGGAGTCCGAAACGCAGAGCTGCTATGAGAGCTCGGACGAAGAAGGGCGTCTCTGATAATTCTTGTGTGGATTTGCAGTTAAAAGGTTGCTCGTAAAGTTTGTGGCTGTCAGCGGAGTTTAAGGTATGGATTGTGGTTTTTGTGTAGTATGTTAACTTTGGAGGAAGTTCTTATCGTTACTTTCGAAATTTTGAATCTCAGAAAGACATGTGATATAGCATAATCGTGGAACTTTTGTTCAGAGACCTTGTGTGACTGGCGAAATTTTATTCAGGAACGTATTATTATGGTAAGTGCATTTTATTTTACTGTTTTTATTTTGTAGAATGTTATGTTCATTGTTTTTTACTATGAATTTTTGTTGTTATTGTTGTTTTTTGGATTGTTTGTAATTTAGTTTATTTGGTTGATTTATGCGCAATTGTGCTAGATTGTGCAATTCGAAATTTTTTTTAAAGTTTAAACAGAATGCTGTGTACGTGGTGTTCTTTGAAATTTATTGTTGTTATGTTAATTTATTGAAGCGAGGTGTGCGTAGTTCGTAGATTCCTTCGCTGCCTAGAATGTGCAATTCGTAGATGTTTTTTGAAGTTAAAATATATCGTTGTGTACATGTATTCTTGTCAAATATTTTTGGTTGGAAATTTTACGTTTTTGCTATCTAAATTTTTTGTTTCTCTTTCGGATTTTTAGCTTAGATTGTGTCTTCAAAACGTGGTTTTTGGAGACATTTTAGGCTTAAAATTCGAAATGTAGACAAAAAATTTAGGTAATACGGCGGCGAGGAGTTTCTCGCCAAACATTTTTGGCGAGAAATTTGGCGACGTGAGGGCACATATAAGATTAGCTCCGTAATTCCCCCACCCCCAGTTTGAAATGCAAGCTTTGTTTTATATGACTTTGTTTTGAAAGCTATTTTAAGTACTATTGGTAATATTTAAAACATAACGTACCACAACCAAGCTCTAACTATTACTCAGTTTGAATATTGTTTTCATCGTAATATGTATCGTAATTATGTATCACACATTTATCATATCTGTATATTTTTCGTATATTTATATCGATATATTTGAAATGATTTAGATTTTGATGGCGTTAAACATGAAAATAAAGCAGCATTCACAGTCTACTGATCGCATTTTCTTTCTTGATAGAACATTGCCTTTATTATTGTATATGAAAATTTTTGATTTGATGCGTTACTAATATACTGGGGCTAAGCAGGTCGTTTTTTAATGAATTAAAAAATTTTTAATGTCTGGAGAAAGAGCGTGCAACAACAGACATAATGCTGTAAGTATAGACAAGGCAAAAAAAGAATGAAACGTGTTCACGATGATTACTTGGTTCATAATAATTTAGTTCCAGTTCATCATTTACCTCTAGATTAATTTTATGTTTCGATTCGCAAATTTGAAATTATTTTTGGCTGGAGTGTTGTGTAAGTATTTACGTCATTGATTGTATGTAAGAATCTTGTGAGAAGCAATAATTTTAAAATGATGCAGTTTAGAGCGATTTATTAGAAGTAATTAATATTTTTGAGGTGGATACAAATTAAAATAGGGCCTTACGAGACTATTGCAAATCATAGTTTGCATTTTGATTGACATTAAGCTTTTTTTTTATAAAGTTATACATATATGTAACGGTAAGCTTGCTAATTTAAAAGAAAAGGAAAGTTTGTAATGGAATGAATTTTTCTCATCCAGAGGAAATTGTTCAAAAGATCTGTTTGGACAAACACTAATAAAAATTAGAATTCTTAAGTATGTTCGTTTGAACAGTAAGTCAAATAAGTACTGGGGTGCAACAAGCATGCAAACTATTTTTAAAAGAATGATTTAATATTTACTTAAAATGAAATACTTTTCTTATATGTCATATCTTAAAGATAAACAAAATTAGAAAATCTTAAAATTAATTTAAAATAATGTTAAATAAATATTAAAGTATATGCTGCTTGTGTACAAATGTGAAGCTGACGGAATATTACATATTAAAATATGGAAATTGCAAAGATAGAATATTACAAAGTGATGGAAAAAAACACTGGAACACACAAACGGGTTTGTTTAAACGTACTATGAAAAATACTTTTATTTAGCTTCCTTTGTTTTTTATAACTACATTGAGTCTTCGAGGCATGGATTTTTATAATATTTTATCAGAGATCTGGTTTAGGTTTCACCATTGTATCGTGGCTTTTTCTTGAAGCTCATTTCTCTTGAAAATTTTTAATTTATCCATTTTATAATACAAATTATCGTAAATGCATGCAATAGGACTGAGGTCTGGGACTGTGCGCAGGCGTTCTGATTACATGTGGCCAGGTCCACAATTTGCAGACATGAGCATTATGCTTGGCATCGTTGTGCTGATATGCGACAACATATCAGCACAACGATGATTGTAAAATATTTAAATAAATAAATTTATTTATTTTGCCACCAATAAACTGTAGATTTCTAACACTGCAAGCACTCACGCAGCACTAGACCATCTGACTGCTTCCGCCGTGTTTTATAGGAGGAATAAGTTTCTCATTTACCAGTTCAGTATTAGATAAGTTCAATATTAGATTTTTGCCTTATCACTTGCTTTTCATCACTTCCAAAAATATTTAATTTACTTTCATCTAGAAATGCAGATGAACTCTAAAAATCTTAGGTTTTTTTTAGTATAGAATTACTAAATTACTTAACTTGTAGGGTTTATATTTTTTTTAACTAACATTTATTTTAAGTTTAAACTATCTTTCCTGTCAAGCCTTACTTTCCCCTGGAACTGCCAATGCCAGAATATGTAAATTTTAGTAGAACGCGCAAGGATTCAAATTATCAGCGGAAGTATTCTGATTTAAATAGAAGGAAACGAGTTCGGTGTGATATTCTTACTTCACGAGCGCGGAGGTAGTTAGCGAGAATTGAAGAACCCCGCGTTTCGGCCTATGTGCTTGGCGGGAAGTAGTGTTAATCGTTCCAGTGAGCTTCAAGTCTGCTGAATTAGCAGCGGTATTGTAAAACGCGGTGAGTTAGTTATTTTAGAGAGCCTCGTAGTTAGAATCTTGTCTTTACTTTCTTTTCAGGTTATTATTTTTATTTGACTGCCGAGTTGGCACCGTCTGTAAGCGTCAAGAGCACGCAATTGTAATTTATTACGTTGAATAAAAAGGGACTTAAACCCTTTACAAGACTCTGTGTTTTATACAAGTTTTCACAGTCACCTCTTGGTTGCGTGCAAGTTGGAGGCGCGCAACGTTATATTGGCGCCGAACACTTATCGAACTGAAATGGCCGCCGAAAACTGGATGGAAGCCGCTGGACAACACCAAGAAATGACAAGCCAGTTAGAAGGATTTGGATACCTGGTCCAGACTTTGAGAGCATCAATCAAGCCAAACGTCTATTTCGACGGAAAAAATTCGGTGGCGGTATTTTAGAAGGTCTAGAAAACCACTTTCAGCTCTACCCTGTGCCTGAAAGACAAAAAGTTGCCATCGCCACATCAGCACTAAGAGGACAGGCCGCGCTATGGTGGAAAAATATAGGCAAATTTTTTATTAGGTGAATTTGGAAGCCCGACATATACATTTGAAAATTTCAAAAAATCGTTAGTAAAGGCCTTCCCCATAGTGAAAGATCGCGCACGGCTGGAAGCCGAACTATATAGTTTCTATCAACGGGATACAGCAGAATTGACGGACTTTATTTACGAAAATCAAGCTAACGGATATGCTGTATGGGAAAGAAACCCGATGCGGAGATTATTGAAATAATATTACCAAGATTGTTACCCGCTGTCCAAGACTACTTTGAAATTAGAAACCCAAGCACATTGCAGGAACTTTCGAATTGGCGGTGAAGTTTCAAAATCGCAGAATAGCGGAAAAAGCGAGAGGGGAAACATATTCTCAAAGTACCCGAAGGAAATCTTCAAAGGAGGAAACCAGAAATGGAAATCGCTCTTATGGGGGAAAGAACTATCAAGCTAACGCATCGAAACTCGAAGGTCAAGGCCCAAAAAGAAAATTTGAAAATAAACATCCGCGTACCCAGAAGACACAGATTGAAAGGAAAGCTTTAAACGACTAGAGGGGCCTGTGAAAGGGAGGGTCCAGACCCCGGAAGTTTTAAAAAAACCCTCAAATAGACATTTAAATACGGTCATCGTAAAAAACTCACAGCTACCAATTATACAAGTCCTGGTTGGCGATGTACCAGTAGAAGCCCTCATCGATACAGGAGCAGAAGGAAATTTTATGAGTGAAAATTTCTTCAAAAAGAATTTTTATAGGATACGACTATTTAAAACCAAAAATACGGAAATTATAGCGGCGCAAGGAAAAACATGTCACTGCATCGGGAAATTATCATTAAACTTACAGGTAAAAGAGGAAAATCTCAAAGTATTAATTTTTGTGGTGAAAGACCTGCAACACTCTCTTATTTTAGGTATGGACTTTTTAAGGGCCGCGAGGGCCAAATTAAATTTTCAAGATAGTTCCGTGGTGTTGGAGATGGACCAGAGGGTGGTGGAACCTGTGGAGACACCTGAATTGGACCTTAGCCATCTGAATGACCATGAAAGTAAAGCAATACAGCAA